CTATAAAATATGATGAAAATTTTTTTTAAACTTTGATCCCCCAAAATCTGATACGCAACCGCTAAAAACCAACTGTGCTAAATAGTTTCTAAATTTTGTCCTGAGTTTAGAAATACCCAATGTTACCGTGTTCTTAGCTTTTTGGGTGGGAAAGTTATAGGACTATAAGTACAAGTAGGACATTGCTGTTTCAAAATATATATTTTTAACATTTATCAATAGTGACATTGTAACACTGTTATCTGTCATAAATCTCTGAATCACACCTCACATGTACATATATTTTTTAAAGTAGACAACCCAGGGTATACAATATGGGGTATGTGCAGTCTTTTTTAGTAGCCACTTAGTCACAAACACTAGCCAAAGTTAGCATTTATATTTGTTTGTATGTTAAAAATGCAAAAAACAATTCTGAACGCTAACTTTGGCCAGTGTTTGTGACTAAGTGGCTAGTAAACAAGTCTGAACATACCCCATTTGCAATACCTTGGGTTGTCTTCTTTTGCAAATGGTATGCCATCATGGGGGTAATTCTCATTCCTGGGCTACCATACGCTCTTAAAGGCAACCTAACCAATCTGGCAAATTTCAATGTGAAAAAATGGCCTTATATTTGACCCCGTAACTTTCAAAAGCACTAAATACTGTTATATTCGGGAGACTTCGCTGAACACAAATATTAGTGTTTCAAAACAGTAAAACGTATCACATCAATAATATCGTCCGTCTAAGTGCCGTTTGTGTGTGAAAAATGCAAAAAACTTCACTTTCACTGACGATATCATAATTGTAATACATTTTACTGTTTAGAAACACTAATATTTGTGTTTAGCGAAGTCTCCGGAGTAAAACAGTACCCCCCATGTACAGGTTTTAGGGTGTCATGGAAAGTTACAGGGTTAAATATAGTGCTAGCACATTAAATTCCCTGAACTTTCAGCCTGGGTTGTCAGGCAGGTCCTGCAAATTGCAATAATTAAAATTACTTATTTATATAAAAATATTACATAAATATATATATATATATATTATTTTTTTAATTTTTTAGTTGCACTTTCTCTAGCAAGACCATTTAGCCTGTATTAGAAGCATTTTCTGATATCTTAGTAATTCATATTGCAGCAGAGCACATTGTCATATACTACTTTTTTTTAGATTTTATTTAGATTTAGAATTTTTTCTATTCTCCTTATACGGCTGAACTCACAAAACTACAGCCTGTACTATCTTACTCTGTATTCATTAGCCCTATATTTGGGTAGAACTACCAGATTTTCATATACAGACATTAAAGCTACACTCAGGATAATTGTTTGGCAAATATGTACATTATTATTTCTGTTTGAATTTTGTTTTCCTTTTCTTTTTTGTTGTGGTGACTTATTTCACCTCTTAATCGCTATCACGTTCAGAGATATCGTTTCTTGAAGCTCAAGGAGGCAAGGTGAATGGTCAGTGTAGGACCCACCTGAGAGGTTTGTCTTGACGTGGCAGGGGGCATTCCCTCCAATGGCCATTGAAGTAACTAAATAACCTCCATTTGTTTAAATATACATAGGGATTTGGGAAGAGCGCAGGTAACTCTTTTTTTTCTTTGGTTTTTACTATATGTGTTGGGGCTGATGTGTACTATGGTCATTGCTGCCGCTCAAGACTAGAGGAGTTTGAGCATAGGACTTTTTTTTTGTGTATTTGTTGTGTAACTATATACTTATCTGAAGAATGTGTTATAAAATAATAGTTATACGTGGACCTAAATACTTATTTGAACATAATTCACGTGTTTCTTGCTCATAAAATATATACTTGCGAGGCGGAGCCTGAACATTGGAGAGAACGGTCGCATGAACTGAACGCTCCGAGCACCACACGGAGGAAACACAATTGCAATACCCCCTCACCCCTTCACAAATGACCGAAGCATACCCCAACACTACATGGGGCGAAAGGGGAAAAAACTATACCAAACAAGCCTACCTCGGGGCTCACGATCGGGGAGATGTGGAGTCAAGCACGAAGCGCCAGCAGAACCAGCATGGCGGCACAGCATGGCGGCTGCTCAGATTTCTCCGAAGAATTTTCCGAAGACATAGATAAGGAGGACCAATCGTCTCCCACCCCAACACGGAAGGCGAAACAAAAAGGCACAGGTGCGGACTCAGAGCCAGTAACCACGGCGGTACTAAAGGCACTGCTGGCAGACCTACAGCAACACATCCACGAAGATGTCACAGTGCTACGCGCGGACTTGAGAGGCCTGACAGGCCGCATTACTAAACTGGAGGGATCCACACAGTCCCACGCACAGAACATAGCCACGCTACAACAGACCGTGCAGAACTTACAAATGCAAACCTGCAATATGAACGCCGCCTTGCGACCCAAGAGGACTTCAAGCAACGGCATAACATAAAGATTAGAGGAGTCCCTGAGGAAGTATCAGAAACCGAGAAGCCGAAAGTCACGGGACGCATCTTCTCTGTAATAATGCGGCACAGACAAGGCAAACTTACCCCAGAGGAGGTCTTCAGGGTCCCCAAGCCAACGAGGGCCCCCGCCACTGCCACGAGAGATGTAATAGCCACCTTCCGAACCGGCAGGGACAAGGCGGCGGTCCTCTCTGCCCTACAGGGTAAAACCCCTTTCTGCTTTGAGAGCATGGAACTGGCCTTCTTTGCAGACCTGTACAGCGGCACTCTAGCCTGGCGGAGGTCACTACGCCCTCTCACCTCTATACTCCAACAACACAGATTGAATACCGATGGCGGTCCACCCGAACCCTGGTAGTACAGCAGGGGGCGAACACGCACATAGTACAAGACATCCAGAATGCTCCAGCCCTACTGTGGGCTCTTGGCCTGCCGCATGATCCCCTCTCCCAGGAGGGGCCACCCAACAATGCCTCACCAACCCACACATGGAATCCGGCTAGGGTGACCCCATTCATACCACAAGGATCCACGCCGGACTCCTACGCAGCGGTCTCCACTTAAGGCCAACACCCGACATCACCCAAGGGGTCCCTGGCTATTTATCCAGCCATCAAGGGGATGCAACAAGTGCTCAACAGTGTACCCTTTTTAACTGCGGCACCCCAGGACCACCGAGTGCGGGACATGGACCACCGCCACAAGGCACTACAAGCTCCCACAAGACTTCGTATAGTGACACCAATACCCAGGCAGCTACACGGACTCAGAGACCACATCCTCTGCCGGATTCATAGTGAATGCTTGAGAAGTTCTGTAGGAAAGGTGGGTTCATTTAGACTGTTACTTTTATACAAATATTCCATGGTATTTGTCTGAAAGAAGTGACACTCACTGACTTTCCCACAACAATAAAGATAGTGAGTTATCCTGGAAAATGTTATGTGCTCAATTTATGTAGATATAGATGTCATATAAGCTAATGATTATGTCTTCATACGATGCAACTGATGTTACACAGTTTACACACTGCAGCAATATTTAATTGAATTATAAGAAGAACTGCTATAAAAACATATTAAAATATATTAAACATCTTGGATTGAAGAAGCAAAATTTACCTTTGCCCCAATAATAGGTCCCATTGGTTTAATCAGACTGCTGATCAGTATTTATATTTTTTTATAGAGAACGATCCCTGTACATTGATGCACTAAGGTTCCCCTTCTTCCACAGTTTGGACTTTCTGTGTCTGTCAAATCACAGGCTTCCCAATGGAGCTCAATGAGAAGTTTGCAAGACATTTGAGGCGTCTTGAGTTTAGTTCCAGCAAACTAGAAATATTCACAGAATTTACATTAATCCACCAGGAACTTTAGTTTTAGGGCCGGCTGATGATGCTCCAATGATGCTCCCAGGGGTATAGAATAAGACTTGCATACAAACTGCCGGAAACCATGACCATGTCAAATCACTAAAGTTGTCCTGGTGCGTGGTGTAACACTTTAAGCTAACAGTGTTCTGGTGTTTAGAGTGTCCCTTTAAGAACTTTAATGAGTAGAGTTATTACTTTCATTTTACTGATGAATTGTGTGAAAATACAACAGGTTTTTATAACAGTAATTTCGGTACATTTTCCGCTTGTTACCTTATTTGGTTCTGGTTTTCTTATAAAAAAAAATGATTTTGATTTAGTTTTTATCTACCTCTCGTAAGGAATATTAGTTTTACTTATTTTCCTATATATTTTTATTTAATTCATTTTTTTTTTTTTATATTAATAATTATTATATAATAAGCGATGTTCAGAAGCACTTAAGGCTGTCAGCTTGCCAGAGCCAGATATTTGTGCCAGACTTTTTATTAACCAGTAATGGTATCATGCTTCCGGTGACTTTGAGAAGTTGGCACTTTTCACCTATTGCATAGTCCTGCTGGCTGTCTGACAATATGTACTTTTGCATGTTTACATATACAGATAGTAAAATCTTCTACCCACATTAAGCTCAACAATTCAGAGAATTTAACTTTTTTACCACGATCCCAGAATTCCATGCAGAATATGCAATATGATAGGTTCTACCTGTTACAGTTCAAACCACATGGGACAGGCAGACGTTATCCTGTCTTTCATCACTTAAAAGGGAGCAACATCCAGGTGTGTGCTCCAAAATCGTGCTAAAGAGTTACTAGATATTATTAATATTATTAATTGGCATTAATTTAAATGGTCTTCTTATTCTAAAAACTAGCCATGTCTGCATGCAATTGTTAAAACGTTGCTGTATTTATCTAATCTTTAAATCAGAAGCATATGGTTTGTAAACTGACACCCTTACCGCTCAAACCTCCTTTGTGTGTGCTCTTCTTCCCATGTTACAAAATGAGAAAAGAACCTTGTTTTTTGTTTTCAAACTACAAATTACATTCAGATTGACTCCACCACTTACACTAGGTACAACATGTAACCTGCTTGCCCCCATCAACCAATTATATTTCAATCAATGAGGTTTCTTTGCTGTAATTTATATAATAGGCCTTTTTTCCATCTGTTTAAGATTGCCAGTAATACCTTCCTCATCTCACAACCAAAACTGTATTGCACATTATATTGAAATATTAACTTAATTTCCTCCCCAGTTACCCGTTCCTCTGAACTTCCATGATGTCCATGGGATTGTAAACTCCGGAGCCATTTGGTGTCCGTATGTCTAATTAAATACATAGTACTCTCCCCTGTAGATAACTGCAAAACTTCATAAAGTAGCACGGATAAAAATGCCATAGAAAGAAAATCCCCTTCACGTCATACAGTAAAACCCACAAAAGTAGTAGACAAAACAATTCTCAAAGCATATTGTCTATTACCGTAACAGAAAGCCCACGTCATCACTTAATATATTTGGATATTGCATGTTTACAAACATACACAATACAAACAACAACAAATATCTGCAAATATAAACATTGTTACACATTAATATATGCTTTTATGATTGTATCTTTCGTTCTTTTCCACCTATCCTTTGCAAAGCACTGTTATTCCTCCTCTCCCTCTATCTTCCTTCGGGCAACAAGATTCACTTTAAGGTTTCCCAGATGTCTTGGTGATTTCAGTGGTAAGTAGCCAAACTGTTTCATCTCCTCACTGCAGACATGCTCAATCTCTTTTACACTGGCAAATTTTAGCACCTTCCTCCATTTCTGTGTTACACTTATTGCATCTCTGGAATAGGGCATAAACCCCTTTTTGCTTTGGCTATCATTATGGGTGACATTATAAATCCATTTCTCTAGATTTGGGCTAATACTGAGACCAACAAACTTGTAAATTCTTTTGACATTCAGAAACGGTTCCACGGCTAGATCTTCATATCTTAGCAACATATAGCGCCCATGCAAGGACTCTCCAGCTGCTATGGCTGCTTTGTTAATGGTGACCTGGGCATTACAGATCTTGGTCATAACCTGTGCAAGAGTGAGTTTATCATTTTTATCCTTCTTTTTTTTTTCATTTCCCACGACAATTTGGTCATCAATGTTAAGACTAAAATATTTCCGGGATGCAGTCACGGCTCGTGGGTCTCGTACTAGGTGGAGAATTCTTAAGTCTAGCGATGGATCCTGGAGAAGAGGTAGAAGGACTTTAAGGTCAAAGATCCTCACAGTTTTCATCACTACATGGCTATAAGACCGGCATGTTTCTTCCATCTTTCCAAGTGAAATATTTTTACAGCGGTGGAAACATAAATTGCGATCATAGCCTTCTAATGGGATTGAAGCTTGGCAAAAAGGAGTTGAACAGAGAGCCCGACTCTCTGCAAAAAACTTCATCTCAGATATGCGTTGCCCACCACTAGGGAGATAGGAATAGAGAGGAGTCACATCGCAAAAAAACAGGGAACGGAGAAGGTCTCTGACTGGATAGTGAAGTAGTTCTGCTGACTCTTGATTAAGTCTCATCCAAATAGGATGAGCAGGCTCAAAGAGGTAAAATACGTCATCGTGATGGTTGAAGATCTGTCCAATGAATGACGAGCCAGAACGCCAGGAGGAAATGATCAGAACGTGGACAGGTCTCTTCTGGTAAGGGTAGGGATTTGTGGAGGAGTGAAAGTTGAGTTGGAAGGACTGGAGAAGAATCAATACAACAAGAGACAGGAAGAGAAAGAAAGCAAACTGAAGATATTGAGAGTGCATGCTGAGCTAAAAAAAGGGATAAAAGAGCAAGGGTATAGAGGTTAATGAGAGAAAGGATGAGGGTCAGATTTGTTATTATTAGTTATCATGGGAATATGGAAAGAACAACTTGTAAGTTAAAGACAAAGTGAATAAAAGGAGAGAATGGCAAATCAAGTGTAAAGGAGAAGTTATTGAGAGATGAGAAAAAATGGGAAGAACAAAAAGATGATTAGAAAATTATGTAAACCGACTAAATTATGTAAACTTACTAATTCATTCTAGTAATGCTGCTAAACAAAGAAACCATGATAGTAAATTTGATTGGAATTTTGCAATATTCTGTTAAATTTTACTGCAAATTTTACAATAAATTCCAACTACACACAAAAATACACAAACACTAAAAACTGTTAGCCCATTGTTCTCTACCCTGATTGTCCTACAGACAATGAGGAATATATATTAATCACAATTATGTGATTAAGTGCCTTAAATGGAACAATCAGCTCAACCCATTTCTAGCATTTAAGGCTAAATTAATTTGTATAATATGCTGTGGCTGTGTCAGGACAGTAAAATAAAATTTAGCTATAGGATGTGCTATTTAAAAAAAAAAATCCTGTGCCATTATTTATTTATTTTTTATTTAATTCTATACAGTGTAAATGTAAAAAAAAAAAAATAATTAAAAATGGCACAGGATTATTTTTTTTAAATAGCACATCCTATAGTTAAATTTTATTTTTGCATTGAAAATTTATGTACAGTTCCGACATTGGCAAATACAAGATAATGGACAAATATAGCACTCTAAAGATATTTAGAAAGTTATTGTTATACATTATCTGCATGCAAATATTCACTCTACAATTAGATTCCAACCTATCAGCTGAAAATTTTAATAAAGATCTTTTTTTTTTAATTGAAAATTGCCTATAACCTTAGTTAAAATTAGAATATTAAACTGTAAAGGGAACTGCATGATCTAGACAATGTATTAACCTCTTGGTGACAGACCATTTTTCTATGTTCTTACTGTTAAAGGGACACTATAGTCACAAAAACAACTTTAGCCGAAAGGACCACTATAGTCACCCAGACCACTTCAGCTCAATGAAGTGGTCTGAGTGCCAGGTCCCCCAGGTTTTAACCCTGCATCTGTAAACATAGCAGTTTCAGAGAAACTGCTATGTTTCAACTGAGGATTAATCTAGCCTCTAGTGGCTGTCTCACTGACAGCCACTAGAGGTGCTTCTGCAATCCTCAATGTGAAAATCGCTTTGAGGACACGCTGACGTCCATAGGAAAGCATTGAGTAATGAACGCTAACTTTGGCCAGTGTTTGTGACTAAGTGACTACTAAAAAAGACTGAACATATCCCATTTGCAATACCTTGGGTTGTCTTCTTTTGCACATGGTATGCCATCATGGGGGTAATTCTTATTCCTGGGATAACATACACTCTCAAATGCAACATAACCAATCTGGCAAATTTCAATGTGAAAAAACAGAAAATCAAGCCTTATATTTGACTCAGTAACTTTCAAAATCACTATAAAACCTGTACATTGGGGGAACTGTTATACTCGGGAGACTTCGCTGAACACAAATATTAGTGTTTCAAAAAAGTAAAACATATCACAACAATGATACCATCAGTGAAAGTGCCATTTGTGTGTGAAAAATGCAAAAAACTTCACTTTCACTGACAATATCATCACTGTGATATGTTTTACTGTTTTGAAACACTAATATTTGTATTCAGCAAAGTCTCCCGAGTAAAACAGTAGCCCCCATGTACAGGTTTTAGTGTGTCATGGAAAGTTTTAGGGATAAATACAGTGCTAGCACATTAAATTCTCTAGACTTTCGGCCTGGATTGTCAGGCAGGTCCCTCAAATTGCAATCAATAAAATTACTTAGTTATGTAAAAATATTACATAAATGTGCACGTAGAATTTAAATATATATACATATTTATATATTTGAAGTCTACGTGTATATTTATGAAATTATTTATGTAATTATGTATATGGAGATATATAATATATATGTATGTGTGTGTGTGGTGGCGATCGGGTTAGTACTAAGGACTTTGAGGACATACTAGGTACGTCCACAGTAGTTAAGGACAATTTTTTTGTCCTCGGTCGGGAAGGTTGTTAAAACCATTTGCGCCCCAAAAATGCTATGAATATCTGTCATTTTGACACTTTTAAAAAATGTATGATATATATATTAGGGACATACCATTATAGTGATTAGAAAACCTGTGCCGTTCAAAAACATAGGGTTTTATTCTTTTATTTACCAGACAGCAAATTGTTGTGATTACCCCAGGGCAGCAATCTGAATGTCTGTTTCCTGGTTAAATACTTTATTATTATTATTATTATTATTATTATTATTATTATTAATTGAAAGACGAATTGCAAAGGTTCCCCAGGTTGGGAAGCTCCCTGTTTGGAGCATATTATTCTCATGTAAATATTCTATCCCCCAATAGCAGTTTACCTCATCACATAGGATGTCTGTCTGTCTATCTGTGTCTCTTCCATACAACTACGTTTCTCTACACTATCAACAGCAACTATTCATAGAGAATAATGTGTCTTAAAAATACAAAGAACTGAGCCCTGCACGCAAACTCCCAATACTCTTGAGCAGCAGGAATAGCTATAGTTTTCATCCAGGGCATTGCTAGATTCCAGAAACACACGGGGTTGATTTCAAGGTGACCTCTACACTATTAGGTTATATCATGACATATCCCTGTCTTTCTGTGTTACGTTACCTCCTTTCCACCCATAAAGAGCCAGCTACTGATGGTCACCAGGATCTCAATGAAATCATAGCCTGAAACAAGAACATGGTGCACGGCCAGGTGCTCTGTGTTATCACCATACGACCTAATTAATAAAAGGTTGTGCAGCAAAGTTCTCAACACGCCCTCCTGACATTCATCTGGGCAGCACCACCTCTTCTCCATAAACAGCCTGATGAAGGACTATAGTATTTATCTTTTTATAATAAGTGGCTGCTTTCTGACGCAGCTGCCTGATGCAAATTAAATATAAAAAAATTACAAATACCCACTAGTCCTCTCGTCCTCTCCACCAACTATAAAGATCCAAGACTAAGGAGCACCGGATCTGGGCATTCAGCCCCCGAAGCTCACCTCCTCCCCCAAGCATATCTATGAACAATACCTGTGCACTATTCCAAATCCCTATGTGCATTTGAGTAATAGGCCACCATTAACACACCACTGCAATGACCATTAAAGTGTAGGTTCACCTGCCCCGTCAAAGCAAACTTTGTAGGTGAGCCATAGCAATTCACGTTGCTGCTTCCAGCAGAAAAGGCAGAATCTCTAATGACACAAAACACTCTACAAAGTAATGGCAGGCCTCATCAGAAGAGTTTCATTACAGCAAGCCAGTCAGATGGCTGCATTGAGCACAAGCAGGATCGTTAGGCAGGGGCCCGGAAGATATAGCCTCTGATGTGGATATACTGACGGTGTGGCAGACAAAAAAAATATTTCCTCCTTAAAGGACCACTCTAGGCACCCAGACCACTTCAGCTTAATGAAGTGGTCTGGGTGCCAGGTCCAGCTAGGGTTAACCCATTTTTCATAAACATAGCAGTTTCAGAGAAACTGCTATGTTTATGAATGGGTTAAGCCTTCCCCCTAATCCTCTAGTGGCTGTCTCATTGACAGCCCCTAGAGGCGCTTGCGTGCTTCTCACTGTGATTTTCACAGTGAGAGCACTCCAGCGTCCATAGGAAAGCATTATGAATGCTTTCCTATGTGACCGGCTGAATGCGCGCACAGCTCTTGCCGCGCGTGCGCATTCAGCCGACGGGGAGGAGAAGAGGAGGATCGGAGGAGGAGAGCTCTCCGCCCAGCGCTGGAAAAAGGTAAGTTTAAACCCCTTTCCCCTTTCCAGAGCCGGGCGGGAGAGAAAACGAGTATGTTTTCCTGGCACTATAGTGGTCCTTTAAGATGTTCAATTTTCATGCAACGTAATCATGCCACACACCACTTAAGCTTGTTACAGAGAAACATTTAAAAGGCTGTTTCACTATGAGAAGCATCAGATTTTCCTAGCAGGGTGATAACCATACATGTGCCCTACATCCCTAGTGATCTTCTATGAAGCACTGGAATGGACCAAGATCGTCAGTCATGATGACCTCATCGAAGGCGGAGTGGCTGCTGAGAGGGGACTGCCCCAACACTGAGTTACAGGTAAGTGCAATTGATTTTAATTGATGTTGAGGATTTTTTTAAGCAAGGCTGAGCCAGTGACATAAAAATATCAAGGAACATTCTATCGATAAAAGCAAACATATTTATTTTTAATGTTACAGTGTTCCCTTATCACAACAACTAGTGAGTATACTGGAAACAAACCACCTAAAGGGAATCTCTAGTGTCAGAACAACAAACCCGTTTTCCTGGCACTGTAGCATCCTGGAATGCCCCCTTCCCTCCCACCCCCAATCCCACGTCGCTGAAGGGGTTAAAACTGCTTCTGTCACTTACCTGAATCCAGCGCCGATGTCCCACGCGCACGCATTAGACCTCCCAATAGGAAAGCATTATTTAATACTTTCCTATGGGGGTTCGGGCGACGCTGGAGGTCCTCATGCAGAGCGTGAGGACGTCCAGCATCGTTTAGACGACCAAAAGTCATCTAAGAAGTCTGGAGGAGTACTTTGCATTTCAGTGAATACACCCTATATTTTTGAACGGTGTGTGATGTTTAATCACAACTTATGTGCTCTCACTTCTAGGGATACATACATCCAATATTTTGGTCCAGAACAACTTTTATCCATCCATCTAATAGAAATAATGTACAACGTGCGCCACTAACACTACAGCCTTTTATTTTCTTATTAAGGAATATATTTTATTAGATGATACTGCCTCTAAGCTAATAAATTGCAAAATTATCTATACCTTATTAAACACAATAAGAGTTTAGTATTTTAGTAGATATTTTTTTCTATACAATTCTTAATTATTAGTTTTCTTTCTTTTTTTTTCCAATTCAGAAGGTATTGTGTTTAACCCCTTAAGGACACGACATGTGTGACATGTCACGATTCCCTTTTATTCCAGAAGTTTGGTCCTTATGGGGTTAAAGGAGAAAATATTTTACAACAGCAATAGTGACGGCAACATGTAAAGCTTATTATTTCTATGGAGTTTGTCAAAAATTTGTTTTAAGACATTTCTCAATCAATGCAGAATATTCAAATTATAGCAAATTGAGCTAAATTGAAACCTAATCTCAAAATTTCAAGTCAAAATAGTTAAAGCATTTCTGCATAATTTTGCAATTCAATCTTTAATTCACTACAGTTTTGGTATTTAGTCTATAAATCCTACTGTGTTTCCCCAAGTGATGCAAAAATAAATTGTTTGAATACAACTATATCATAGTTCTATACTAGTTAGTGTTCTCTGATTTTTTTTTTTCTAATTATGTATTTGTACACTAACCTGGGATAAAAGGTCTGACATGTTCTAAGTCATATTTCTTAACGGACTTTGTGATAAAAAAAAATACATATATATTCACACAAATCGAAATAAGAATAACTCCACTTGTAATAAATACAAATCTTTTTCACCTTTTTAAAGGAGATCTACCTTAATAGTCTGTGTTTAACCCCTTAAGGACACATGATGGAAATATTCTGTCATGATTCCCTTTTATTCCAGAAATTGTGTCCTTAAGGGGTTAATCTGTACACAGTAAATTATGAGAGCAAAAAAAAAATCCTGACTATATGCCCAAATATTTGAAACAATAGAATAAATGATTTGACTTTTATCTTAATTTATCAAATTATATTCGTTGTTGCATACTGAAAATCCTTGATTATTTTTATATTTAAAATTTTTTTTTAAATTTGAATTAATCTCTTTCCGAAAATTGTCCTTTCACCTACCTATCTCCTTATTCCGAGGCCGTAGTTATGTCTGTGTCCATTTTTGACCACAATTGCTTCCACACCAGAAATGTGAATTAAAGACAACTCCAGTCACAACGAAATAAGTTTATTATTCCGAAAGAAAACATTCAGCTTAAATATCTTGCTCCAGGTTCACCAACCCTAGCTTCCTTTCTCAGCCTAGCCCTTTAGTCTTTAGTTCTTCGGCCGTAGCTCCACAAGTAATAATTATTTGTTAGTGTCATCAAAAGGGTGTGTTCCACATATTCTTTTTACTCCCAACGGGGAGCCCTGGTAAGATTCTGATCAATGGCACGAAGAATGGCATGAGAAATGTTGGACAAAATGAATTCATCCTCACATTTATAGTAGTGTAGTTATCATTTTGTTACTATATAGCACTACCCTACTGAAAAAAAAACAACATTTTTTTATTACTTGCCCTTGTACACCCGAGAGATGAATAATAGTAAGGAGTGGATGATGAATAGTTGACTGTTTAACCGTGAATTCCATCACTTATTAACAAAGTGCAATTTATAGAGATGGGTTAAACAGATAGGGAGATTCAGTCAATGTCTCAAATGACAATGCAGGCTGGAAAATCCAATAACGCCGCTTCAAACTTCTAATGTATGTCATTTTGTATCTTTGCCATCTGTAATTGTAAAGAAGAATCTATATTATAAATTGTTGCGAAAGTTATTAAAAAAAATAATTTGTTACTTTAAAAAATATTTGTCATTGCACTTAGTAGTATTGCTTAAGAACGCTGAACTGTACTATAAATTTTTTAGGCTGAAGCTGTCCAGATGTAATGGGATCATAGCCAGATCCTATTAAGTCACACATTTATTCATTGTTTTAGATACTGGATTAGGAAAATACTCAGTTGATAAACAATGGCTTGCTGCCTGGCTCCAGTAACAACATGAAGACAATGGTTAATTAAGGGGAACGAGGCAGAGCTCCCTTTCCTCAGCAGGTATAAAGAAACATTCTGATACCATTACCATGATTCATGCCAAGGAATTCTGATACATTTACTAATCCATAATGCCAAGATGTGTATATCTGCTTTACAGTTTTAAAAATAGAAATACATACATATAATGAAATGTTATTATAATATTATTGAAACTTTACTGGGGGGGGGGGGGTGTTGTGACACATAAGCTTTGCTGGGTCTTGGACTTTAAGAACCTAAATACCTTGCTGGTGGGAGCAGTCTTGTTACATAGTTACATAGCTGAAAAGAGACTTGCGTCCATCAAGTTCAGCCTTCCTCACGTATGTTTTTGCTGTTGATCCAAAAGAAGGCAAAAAACCCAGTCTGCAGCGCTTCCAATTTTGCAACAAACTAGAAAAAAATCATTCTTGACCCCAAAATAGCAGTCAGATATCTCCTTGGATCAATCAGCTATTCTTTCAGCCTAAATGTGTGACCTCATGTCCTATGTATACCCCTGTTTATGAATAGATTTCCAGATAATGGTTTGTACTGGCCCCGAATATATTTGTATAATGTTATCGTATCCCCTCTGAGGCGCTGTTTTTCCACACTAAAGAGATTTACATTTTTTAACCTTTCTTCGGAACTAAAATGCTCCATTCCTTTTATCAATTTTGTAGCTCGTCTCTGCACTTTTTCTATTGTCATGATATCTTTCTTTAAAAACAGGTGCCTGAAATTGCACAGCATATTCAGGGTGTGGTCTTACCAGCAATTTATAAAGAGGCAAAATTATATTTTCATTTCGAGAATTTATGCCCCTATTTATACATGACAAAACCTTACTGGCCTTAGCAGATTGACATTGCATATTGCTGCCTGATTTGTTGTCTATAACAATTCCCAAATCCTTCTTGTGTGTGGTTATCCCTAATTCACTACCATTTAGGGTAGTTTTGTTCACATCCCACACACTCAAATTTCCATTACCAAGCTCTGCCTGTGGCATCACAACTTGCAAGTAACATCACACAACTTCTGCAATACCATAGAGTGGGTCATAAACCCATTTGCAGATCATCATTAAAAAAGAAAAGATTAATTTGCAGACTCGGGCATGACGCAAAGGGGGATTATTAATTTGCCTTGAGT